CTGGCTTGTCAGAGTCCTAGCCAGGCTGCATTTTTAAAATTTAAATTATTGATTGATTGTTAGTTTGTGTGCGTCGCATGTAGGCGGATCGATAGTCTGGCGTGAGCACGACTGGCTGTCTCTCTGCTGGCTGCTTGCTCGCGTGTCTGTTAGGGTGGCTCGTAACAACTTCGTCGCCAGGTTGCAACCGATTAGGCATAATATGGACCATATTGTCTCCCGAATCGATGCTGCCCGCCGGAATTTCTCAAGCCTTCCAAAGTGACTAATAGATTCGACCCGACACCCTCTCAACGTGAAGCTTTGCGTGTACAGTGCATCCCTCCGGTCTGCTGTTCTCTATGCTGAGCTGCGCGTGGAAGATGAGCAAAGACTGGAAGTATTTTACAACCACTGCCAGTGGGGTGGAGTACGCTATTTTATTTTCAAATGAGCTAGCCCGCACTCGCTGCGAAATTATCACAAGGATATCTCAGGCAATCCAAGAAAGAAGACTTAGTTGATTTCGTCGTCCACCTCATGGTTCGGCACGTTTGCCTACTTGGGCACGTCGAAAGGGGGGGGGAGGGTCAGCCGGAAACCTGACTCGAAGCAGTTCATCGAGCAATAGAAATTATTCCTGAACCTTCTGTATTCGGTCTCTGTCGTTGGCAAAGAGCATTGGTCGAACTGTCTATATCAGTTGCCGCGGATCGTCACGCTTGAAGAAGAGGCAGTCCTTAGCGTCATTGTGACCGGCTACATCAGGCATGATTATGGCCGTACCAGGCAAAAGAATACTAGTCATCTTCGCTATTTTGTGTGTTCTGGTACCTCAAGATGCTTGTGGTTTTGAGCTGCAACAGCACCACATGCCGCCTTCTCTCATGGAGTGGGCTTTTCACGTAAATCAACGGGAGTGACGTGCTTTTGACTTTCGATCCATCTACCTCTGTTCAAACGATGGCTCTTGTCTGCTGGCAGAGGGGGCGGAGGGGGGGGGAGAATAGGCAAAAATGCGAGTAGATTGATGCAGCACCGCAGCCGGCTTCATCTGCCCGCATCCAGCCAATCATGATCCCCCCAACTCCATCTGCGACCTGAAACACACAGATGTGTGCGTCATAGTAATTAAGTTCAAGTGCAGTTCATCAGTGCCTTGTCATCTCTCGTTTTGGTTCGGGCACTTATTAATACACTAGGCGTATGCCGAGATGTTGGCCTCTCGAAACAAGCCAGCTTGAAATTCGAGACAGAAATCACGAACACCCAGCAGAACGAACATCCCGGACGTCAACTCACTCTTCCCTCTTAATGCTTTATACATCTTTTCTGGCTGCGACCATGCCCCATTTACCTGGTTACAGTTATCTCACATGTTGTACTTCTCTACGCATCACCTCAGTTTTAACGGTGTTTGGATCCCCAGCCTACGGTCGAATTTCCGCCAATAGGAATTGTCCACGATTCGTATTGGTCAATAGGCATCAGTAACCTAAGCAACAGGAATTTATGTTGGTCGATTTGACTATATTCAGCTCACTAAAACAATCTTAAGTGCCTTTAATTTACTGTCCATTGTCCACTTTCCACCCAATTTAACACACATTTACACTCTTCAATCCAGTATTTAACCCTTAACCACGAATTCCGCAAGACATTTAGGCGGCGGAAATTTATTTTTAGGGGGCCTCGCAAGATAGATTTGGTACTTTCAGTCTGCACACAAAAATTTGACATCGTTTTTACACCACCACCAACTCTTCAAGTCTGCATAACTTTTTCCCAACCCGTTCCTCCTCCCGTAGGTTTTCTCCGGCGATTCTACGAAGGCTGCTTCCAGCGAATTGCCGCCGCTTCCGCGAGCGATTCATGATAATCGGGCTCTCATTATTGTCAATATGCCGGATCAACTGCGTTTTCACCGAGAGTGAGTTCTTGGACTGCCCGTTTGCGACTCTCAGTCAAAAGTGGTTGTTCCCTTTAGCGATATGTTCTCCCCACGCATCTGCCATTGACCTTTTAGTCGCTTAGACATCCTTTTGGAATGCCGCAGCATTGGGATCAGCCCTGTCCGTCCTACCGTTTCTCGATGCAGTCCTCGTTGCTGATCGAGTCTCTTGTGCCTGTCCATTAGCAACTGCGCTGTTGTAGGCCTACTCTGTTTTCATTAATGCAGTCCTTACTCTGATTATCAGCTAGGTCCGGAACTACAAACATTAGCTCGTAAATGGCGCAGATGGACCGCGAGCACTTCATTGAACCAAAGTTCATCGGCCCCTTACCGCCTGTCAGTACAGTTAAGATGTTTATTCAATCACAGATGAGTTTCCCGAAACGAATTTGCTCCGCAGTGGATATCGGAGGTTACGAACCGGTCTGGATTGTATTTTCCTGGTCCTTGTCACCCATACGAAGTTTTTTTGGTTTAGGAAACCGGTTGATTGGTGCGCGCCCATTCCCGCTTGAATGTGTATGCAGCAGTTTCGGTAGCTTTGGTAGGGTAGCACTCAGAGAGGTCTCGTCAAAATTTTTCGCAGTAACCCTATGCGGCAAAGGTAGTGCACCTCATATAACCCTAGTCCCGGCATTGTTTTCCTACATAAACGGTGGTTGTAGGGGTTTTGGTTGTGGGGAAATAGGATAGGCGGTGAAAGGAATTTGTAAAAGTAAGTGGAAAGTGGGAAAATGTAGTTGAATTTGTTTCCCGTGGCCGCTAGGAATAAGTTGTTCCCGATGTAAACCGACGGTGTGCGTGGTGCTTTGCGCCGCGGACTATGCTCATCTAACTCCAGGACGGTAAGTTGAAGTAGACGACCTCCTAACCACCGTTTCGATTTTTTCAGGAATTTGT